GGGGGGGCTTCGGGGGGCTCCCACAGCAGCGCGGGGGGGGGAGACGCGGCGGCGGCTGCTGCGCTCTCCTCCGCTGCTGCTGCTGCTGCTGCTGCTGCTGCGGCGAGGGCGGCGTAGGGGAGCAGCAGCAGCAGCAGCAAGGTGCTGCTGCTGCTGCTGCTGCAGCGGGAGAAGAAGGCGCCGCACAGGGCGCCGCTAAGGCTCACCCTCATCTCCCTACAGCAGCACCAACTGCAGCAGCAGCAGCAGCACAAGCAGCAGCAGCAGCAGCAACTGCCACTCCGCAGACACGCAGCAGCTCCCGCTGCAACCGATGCTCCGCCGCGCGCAACGCCGCCCCTGCTGCTGCTGCTGCTGCTGCTGCTGCTGCTCCAGATCGAGGACCGACTCCGAGGACTTCCAGACCCAGCAGCAAACCCTTAAAACCGCCCAGCAGCAGCAGCAGCGCAGCAGCAGCAGCAGCAGCGCCAAGCTGCTGCGGGAACAGCAGTCGAACAGACGCCGCCCGACGGGGAGCGCGCCACTCAACGGATCCGCTGCTGCTGCGCTGCGTCATGGGCTGCCGAACTGCTGCCCGCGAGCCGCTGCTGCTGCTGAAAGAAGAAGCTGCAGCAAGCAAGAAGTGACACAAAACACAAAACTCTGCAAACAAGAACAAAATTCGAAGAAAAAGCAAGGAACAGACAGCAGCAGCAGCTGCTGCTGCTGCTGCGGGGCTGCAGAGCCACGATCGCCTCCTGTATCGAGCAGCAGCTGAGTTCAGCTGCTGCGCCTCGATTTGCATGCAACTTGCAGCTTTGGGGCTTTAATAAATGCATTTTAGAAATATTTAAAACTTTATTTCGCGCGGAACGAGCCCTCAAGGCCCCCTGAACGCGATGCAGCTGCTGCTGCTGCTGCTGCAGCTTCAATGAGACGCGCTGCAGCAGCAGCAGCACGCCCGCCCACCTGCTGCCTCGCTTCTCTCCTTCCTTTTGCTGCAGATGCTGCGCCTCTGCTGCGTCTCTTGCTGCTGCAGCAACAGCAGCAGCAGCAGCTTGCTGCAGCGGCGACGACCTGCGGCCGCGCCGCCGCTGCTGCTGCTGCTGCAGCTCGCCGCGTGGCTCGAGCTCCAAGCAGCAGCAGCAGCAGCAGCAGCAGCAGCAGCAGATAACACGGCCCTCGACGTCTACTGGGCTCAGAGCGATGCCCCGCGTTTACAAGCCTCGCAGTGGGGCCCCCAGTGGCAGCGCGGTGCTGCCAGCAGCAACAGCAGACGCAGCAGCAGCAGCAGCAGCAGCAGCAGCAGGCTGCTGCAGCAGGGGCCCCTCTTTAACCCCACCCTCTCGAGCTGGCCCAGTGCTGCGCCCAGCAGCTTCGGGCCCGTCGCCCCAGCAGCAAGCTTCTCAGCAGCAGCAGGGGGCCCCACATCTGCTGCTGCTGCTGCTGCTGCTGCTGCTGCTGCTGCTGCTGCTGCTGAGTTGCCTTTGGACTTCCCGCTGCGCGTGGAGCCTGCTGCTGCGGGCCCCTTCCGCCCTGCTGCTGCTGCTGCTGCTGCTGAGTTGCCCTTGGACTTCCCGCTGCGCATGGAACCTGCTGCTGGGGGCCCCTTCCCCCCTGCTGCTGCTGCTGCTGCTGCTGCTGCAGCAGCAGAGGACCCGCCGCGCCGCGCTGCTGCAGTGCGGGGGCAGCGGCGGCTGCTGCTGGGGCTGCTGCTGCTGTGTCTGAGCAGTTTGCTGTTCTCCGCAGTGACCCTGCGGGCCCTGGGGGCCCCCCGGGGGCCCCCCGGGGGGGCCCCCCGGGGGGCCCCCCGGGGGGCCCCCCGGGGGGCCCCCGCAGCAAAAGACTCTGAAGAATTAAATGACTTAAAAAGGCTGGGGTTAGACGCGTTGGCGCTGCTGAGTCCTTTGCTGGCAGTTGCTGCTCGGGGCGTGGATTTGCTGCTGCGGGCCGAGCAGCAGCAGCAGCAGCAGCAGCAGCAGCAGCAGCAGCAGCGGGAGGCGTCGCTGCTGCAGCAGCTGCAGCAGCACGCGAAAAGCCACAAAGGCACTTTAGCAGCAGAAGCAATCCTTGCTTGCTTCGGGCTGCTGCTGATGGCTTTTGGGCTTTTGAATATTTACAGAACAGCTCCTGCTGCTGTTGCGGAGCGGCTGCGCAGGCGAAACCCTAAACCCTAAACCCTAAACCCTAAACCCTAAACCCTCGGCTGCCTGGCGAAGCCCCGGAGATGGGGCTAAGGGGAGCAGCAGCGAGTGAGCTGCAGCAAAGCAGCTGCAGCAAAGCTGCTGCAGCAAGTCAGTGCAGCAAAGCTGCTGCAGCAAATCACTGCAGCAAAGCTGCTGCAGCAAACCACTGCAGCAAATCAGCAAATAAAGGCGGCAAATGAGCTGCAGCAAATAAGCTGCAGCAAGTAAGCTGAAACAATTGAGCAGCAGCAAATGAGCTGCAGCAAAGAAGCAGCAGCAAATGTGCTGCAGCAAAGAAGCAGCAGCAAATGAGCTGCAGCAAAGAAGCAGCAGCAAATGAGCTGCAGCAAAGAAGCAGCAGCAAATGAGCTGCAGCAAATGCGGCGGGCGGCCGCGCCCTGGGGTGTACGTACACCCCAGCGGCCCGGGGCCCGAGCCCGAAGCTCTGTCCCAAACCCTAAACCCTAAACCCTAAACCCTAAACCCTAGCGACAGAAAGGCCGCAGAAGCCGTTGAGCTCGCTGCGCTGCCCGAGGGAAGTAATACGCCAGCGACAGTGGGAGCTGCAGCAGCTGCTGCAGCAACTGCAGCAGCTGCTGCAGCAACTGCAGCAGCTGCAGGAGCAGCTGCAGCAACAGTAACTGCAGCAGCAGCAGCAGCAGCAGCTGCTGCTGCTGCTGCTTTATTTCCTTTTTTTGTGAACTTTTTGGTTCTTTTGGCTGCGGCTTTCCGCTACAGCTTCGCCATTTGTCCCCGCTTCTCTTTTCCTTTTGGAAGTGCTGCTCGTTTGCTGCTGCTGCTGCTGCTGCTGCTGCTGCTGCTGCTGCTGCTGCTGCTGCTCGTTAGTTGTGTCTGCTGCAGAGTCTGCACGCGGTGCTGCTGCTGCTGCTGCTGCTGCTGCTGCTGCTGCTGCTGCTGCTGCTTTCTTCTCCTTCTGAGGGGCTTCGCTGGGGCCCTCAACTTCGAGCAGATTCTCCAGCCCCTCGTCCGCCAAGGCCATTTCCTGCAAACCCTAAACCCTAAACCCTAAACCCCAAACCCTAAACCCTAAACCCTAAACCCCAAACTCTAAACCCTAAACCCTAGGTTGGCAAGGTGCGCTGGGAATCTGGGCTGCTCCCACTGCAACCTCTGAGGGTTTTGCCAGAGGGAGCCACAGGCCTAAACCCTAAACCCTAAACCCTAAACCCTAAACCCTAGGTTTTTTACGCTTTCTTCCAGGGACTCGCCGCGCGCAGTTGCAATCTTTTGGAGGAGTTCTTCAATTGTGGCTTTTAGTGCAGAAGCGCTTTCCTGAACACGCAAACCCTAAACCCTAAACCCTAAACCCTAAACCCTAAACCCTCGCAGAGCTTCAGGAAAACTGCAAACCACCCTCCAACGCATGCACTTAAAGAGCTGCACCGCCACCGCTGCTGCATCTGCTGCAGCAGCTGCTGTTGCGGCTGCTGCTGCAACTGCTGCTGCTGCTGCTGCTGCTGCTGCTGCTGCTTTGCTGCTTCTGCGCGGCAGCTAGCTGGATTTGGTACAAAAGCGCGCATGCAGGTATAGAGAAGCAAAAAAGAATAAAATTAATTTTAAAATAAAAATAAATAAAATTATTTAATTTATTTAATTTAATTATTTTAAATAATTGAATTAAATAAATCCACCAATCTCACTTGAACGTAATAAACAAAAGTCCTACCTCTGGGTTTGCTGCTGCAGCTTGCTGCTGCTGCTGCTGCTGCTGCTGCTGCTGCTCGGCCTGCCTGCTGCGGCTCCTGCTGGCAGCTTTTTGTGCTGCTTTGCGGCAGAGGGCCCGCAGCTGCTGCGCTGCTGCTGCTGAGGCCCCCACAGCACTTCTTATTAAATGCCAGCAGCAGTTAAGCCGCTGCAGCGCCTTAGCAGCAGCAGCAGCAGCAAGCACCAGGCAGCTCACAGCTTCCAGGTACACATTCAGGCAGCTCTCCACCACAAGGGGGCCCCCCGAGGCCCTCGGCAGCTTGCGAGAGCGCCAGAGGGTCTAGCGGGTCTCCAGTACCCTCCCACAGGGGCACTAGAGCTGTGGGGGGGCCCCCTGGGGGCCCCCCGGGGGGCCCCCCTGTGTTGCTAGGGTTGAGATTCGCAAGCAGATCTTGTCTATGAGGGCCTCACTTTGTCTGCGGCCTTTTGCGAATTGCAGCACGAAGCTGCGCACAAACCCTAAACCCTAAACCCTAAACCCTAAACCCTCGGTCTGGTGTGGGTGGCGGCCCGCACGGCCTAGGGTTTAGGGTTTAGGGTTTAGGGTTTGCTGCTGCATCTCACCTGAGGAGTTTCTCTCTCTCGCGCTGCAGCGCCGCAACTGCTGCAGCTTCTCGCGCCGCTGCAGCGCCCTCCCCTTCGGCCTCCCCTGCTGCTGCTGCTGCTGCAGCAGCAGCAGCAGCAGCAGCAGCAGCAGCAGGGGGGGCTGTGGCCACCCCGATTGCTGTCAGCAACTCAGGCAGCGCATGCAGCACAGCAAGAGGGTCTTTTCTGTCGACTTCGAAGAAGAAGGTTTTTGCTGCTTCCCTCACCCGCCAGGCCCTCTCCTGCTGCTCCTGCTGCTGCTGCTGCTGCTGCTGCTGCTGCTGCTGCTGCAGCAGCAGCATGTTCACCAGCAGCCGCGCCTTGGGCTTTACCATTCCAGTCATTGTCAAGTGCGTCAGCACATGCACTGCTGCCAGCTGTCCATACACCCCAGGGCCCCGCAGCAGCGAAAACACTCCTTCGTTGTAAGGCTCCAGCAGGTTCGGGTGTCTGCAGCAGCAGCAGCAGCAGCAGCAGCAGCAGCAGCAGCAGCGGCGGCGGCGGCAGGGGGGGTTGGAGGGCAGAAGCAGCAGCAGCAGAAGCGGCGGCAGGGGAGGTGAGGGGACAGAAGCAGCAGCAGCAGCAGCAGCAGCAAGGGCGCTGGGAGGGGCAGCAGCAGCAACAGCAGCAGCAACGGGGAGCAGCAGCAGCAGCAACAGCAGCAGCGCAGCAACTGCGCTCAGACGCAGCAGGAGCCACTCCGTCTCCCAAGGGCCTAGGGCCTAGGGTTTAGGGTTTAGGGTTTAGGGTTTAGGGTTTGTTACCTGCAAGTGAGGTCCCCGAAGCCAACCAGCAGTGTGTCTTTGAGGGCCCCGTCGGCTCTATTCTCTTGCTGCGGCGGCAGCAGCAAAGACAGCAGCGCATGCAAAGTGCTCTGCTGCTGCTGCTGCTGCTGCTGCTGCTGCTGCTGCTGCTGCGGCTGCAGCTGCAGCTGCAGGCGCTCTTCGCAGAAGGCTCTGCTGACTGCAGCGTATTTGGCGAGAGAGAGCACCGCGGTTTGCTGCAGCAGCTTTGCTGCTGCAGCAGCAGCAGCAGCAGCAGCAGCAGCAGCAGGCTTGCCCGGCAGGGGGGGCCCCTCGGAGCAGCGCAGCTGCAGCTGCTGCAGCAGCTGCTGCGGGGCAAAAGCAGCAACCAGCAGCAAACGCTTGTAGGGGCCCCCCAGGAGGCCCTGCTGCGTCAGCTGCTGATCTATTATTTGCTGCAGCAGCTCGAGTTCTTCTTCTTCCCGTGTCTGCAGCCCCATGTTGTCTTCAATCTGCTGCTGCTGCTGCTGCTGCTGCTGCTGCTGCTGCTGCTGCTGCTGCTGCTGGTTGCTGCTGCGGTCGGCCTCTGCTCCGTCTGCGCCTGCGTCTGCTGCTGCGCCCTCGGAAGCCGCCCTCCCCTGCTGCTGCTGCTGCTGCTGCTGCTGCTGCTGCTGGGTGCCGGCTGCTGCTGCTGGGGAAGTGCTGAAGTGGCGCAGCTGCTTCAGCTGCCGCTGCAGCAACTCCAGCAGCAAACAGCAGCGCAGCAAAACATGACCTGCCAGAAACAGCAGCTGCGAAAGCCTAACAGCAGAAGGGGCCCCCGAAATGGGCAGCAGCAGCACGGGGCAGGGTTCTCGGGGAGGGGCCAGGGGGCCCCACAAGCTGCCATCTGCTGCTGCTGCTGCTGCTGCTGCTGCTGCTGCTGCTGCTGGTGCTGCTGCTGCTGCTGCTGCTGCTGC